CTCAGGTTTCTGGTGAAGCAAGGCTGTATCAAACCGATATGCAATCTTCTTGCCTCCCAATATCCAAGAATCAAAATGGCTTGCTTAGAAGCGTTAGAGAACATTCTCAAGGATGGAGAAGCAGAGAAGAACTTGGATCATGTTAACCTCTACGCTTCAATGATAGTCGAAGCAGAAGGACATAAGAAGATTCAGAATCTTCAGAGTCATGAAAACAACGATGTAAACCAAAAAGCCGCGAAGATCCTCAAAACCTTTTGGACAGAAGATGGACAAGGCAAAGATGAAAAGCACGCTCCGCAATCTGGTTCTTAGTTATGAAGCCCGAATGTTCCTCCAGAGGTATGATGAAAGTTGAGGTTTTCTGAGTCATATTTGCTGTTGACTTTAAGTTATAATAACTGTTTATTTTTAATTACTCTTGCAGGACATAACGTGACGTAGAAGAAATCATTTCTCATCCATAAATAAAATATGTTTTTTTTTTGTTGCTTTTGAAGTTTGTTGGGGGGGGGGGAGGAGGAAGAAGAACAATTATGTTGGGTTTTTTTTCACAAATGGGAGTAAAAGTTGATTTTTTTTACTCTGTTACTAACCTTATGCTATAATATCGTGGTTATGGCTAAACATTGGTTGATTTTACAATTAGGTAAATCATTTTGTTCCGAAATTTTAGAAAACAGAGTAGTTCTAAATTTTAGAAAAAAACTGAACGATTGGTTTGTTAGAATCAAGGTTAGATTTTATTGTGGAAAATTCTCTCTGGCTGTTGATTATAGAATGATGTTATAAGGCAAAACCTTTGAGCTGGTTGGTGTGGAAAACACTTTGCCAACTTGTTGTTTAACAATTCTGTGTAACAGGTGGATCGTGAAGAGCGGCCTGATGTCGATAAGGTAAGCTAGTGTATGCATGCATAACATCCACTAGCTGTCTTGAATACATGCCTCGAAATTCAAAATCTCATTTATTTCTCTGAATGCTTAGTTTCAGAGATATCATTTCAATTTCGTTCAATAATGTTTTAGGTGGAATATATAGGTTTCATTACTTTGTTAAAGAATATTTGCATGTTGGGGAAACTCCAGGGAGAGATACAAAACGATAGTAGACTTGTACTGAATTAGTTCTTCTTGTAATCAGTTTCTTGAAATATGGTAAAAGTCAATTTGACTACATTCATGGGCTTGATTTATGATTTGTTTTACTGGTGGTACTTTTAGGTTTATATGTCGTTCGTCCAGGCTCTGTACGGTGGAGGAGGTTGGCCACTATCGGTCTTCCTATCACCTGATCTAAAGCCATTGATGGGTGGAACCTACTTTCCTCCAAATGACAATTATGGAAGACCAGGATTCAAGACGATACTTAAGTAAGGAATACCCTTCTCTTTTGTTGTACAGTAGCATTCTCAGTTCAAGATGGTGCTATTGGTACAGTGGCATGTACAAAAATGAGCTCAAAGACTATACTTGATTCGATTATATTCTCCCTGTCTACTTTGTGTTTGGTCCAGGAAAGTGAAAGATGCGTGGGACAGTAAGAAGGATACTCTTGTGAAGAGTAGCATATATGCTATGGAAGAACTGTCAAAAGCTTTATCTGCAAATGCTGAAACTGATAAGTTGCCAGATGGGCTTTCTCGGGTAGCGTTGAGTTTATGTGCCAAACAAGTATGATTCGGCTCTAGTGTACCCTTAGAAACATAAGTGTGATTGATATATCAACGTAAAGAGCCCTTCTTACAGTAAGTGTCTCTGTTCCAGCTTTCTCGCAGCTATGATTCGGAATTTGGCGGGTTTGGATCTGCACCAAAGTTCCCGAGGCCTGTCGAGATCCAGCTGATGCTTTATCATTCCAAAAAGTTGAAAGAAGCCGGGAAAACTAGTGAGGCCGATGAAGACCAAAGTATGGTTTTATTCAGCTTGCAAGGCATGGCAAATGGAGGGATGCATGATCACATTGGAGGCGGATTCCATAGGTACAGCGTTGATGAATGTTGGCACGGTGAGACTTCAAATAAGTATCCTTAACCATCGAGTGGATGAAAAAAAAATCTGATGCCTTTTGCTATCTTTCTGGTGCAGTTCCACATTTTGAGAAAATGCTATATGATCAAGGGCAACTAGCTAACGTCTACCTTGATGGTTTCATCATTACCAAGGATGTTATGTATTCTTATGTGGCAAGAGACATACTTGATTATCTGAGAAGGGACATGATTGCACCTGAAGGTGGAATATTCTCGGCTGAAGATGCCGATAGCTTTGAGTCCGAGGGCGCAAAGAGAAAGAAAGAAGGAGCATTCTATATATGGACCAGCGACGAGGTTCTTTTCTCTGATATATACATCACTTCTATCGCGCTATCCTCCTCTCTTAGTGAACCTTCAGTCTTTTTATTTTTCTTGTTTTGTTTCAAGATTGATGAAGTTCTCGGGGAGAATGCAGATCTTTTCAAGGAGCATTATTATGTTAAGAAATCAGGTAACTGCGATCTTTCGAGTAGGAGTGACCCGCACAACGAATTCGCTGGGAAGAACGTGTTGATCGAAAGAAATGAGCTGTCTGCCATGGCATCAAAGTTTAGCCTCTCCATTGAGAAGTACCAAGAGATTTTGGGTGAATGCCGAAGAAAGCTTTTCGACGTCAGATTGAAGCGACCTAAGCCGCATTTAGATGATAAGGTGAGAAAGTTCTTGGAAACCTTTTTGTTGCCTTCTTCGACTGTTTCTTCAGCTCTCTTAATCATTTAAGATTTCTACTCTTTCTTAGATAATCGTGTCGTGGAATGGTCTTGTTATCTCGTCTTTCGCAAGAGCTTCCAAGATTCTCAAGGCTGAGCCTGAAAGCACCAAATACGGTTTCCCTGTGGTGAATAGTCAGGTAATGAAAGCTACGCCGCGCTTTTTGATGTCTTCTTTGTTGACCATCGATTTATCTTATCCGAATTATCATTACAGCCAGAGGATTACATATAAGTTGCCGAGAAAGCAGCTTCGTTTATCCGAAAGAATCTCTACGATGAACAATCACATAGGTTACAACGCAGTTAACAGGAAGGGACCATCAAAATCTCCTGCCTATTTAGACGATTATGCTTTCTTGATCTCTGGTTTGCTCGGTCTCTACGAGAATGGACTATGGAGGTGGGATCGAATGGCTTAAATGGGCTATTAAACTTCAAGAAATCCAGGCAAGTGATTTCTTAAAGTTTTTGATTTTGGCTAAAACTTAAAGACTATCTCGATTTCTTAAAAGTTTTTGATTTTGGCTAAAACTTAAAGACATTTTAGGATGAGCTATATCTTGACCGAGAAGGAGGAGCCTACTTCAACACACAAGGACAAGATCCATCGGTTCTTCTTCGTGTAAAAGAAGATCATGGTGGTGCAGAACCTTCAGGGAACTCTGTTTATGCTATTAACCTTGTGAGATTAGCTTCCATTGTCGCTGGAGAAAAAGCTGACTCCTACCTAAACACCGCACATCGTCTACTGGTAAACAAACAACCAACTCTATTTGCTATTCATCTTTTTAAGGATTATCGTCTCTCACATCTGTTGGCTCGCTTCTTTGTTACTTTTTGCAGGCGGTCTTTGAATTGAAGTTGAGAGAAATGGCGGTAGCAGTGCCGTTAATGTGCTGTGCCGCGGATATGATCTCTGTTCCGTCGAGGAAGCAAGTTGTGTTGGTTGGTTCTAAGTCTTCTGTAGAGCTCAATCACCATTTTTGGTGGTTTTTTTTTCTGAGTAGGTGATTCACATAGATCCTTCGAGTTCTAATGAAATGGAGTTTTGGGAAGATCATAACAGTAATGTAGCTGAAATGGCGAAGAGAAACAGAAACTCTGAGAAAGTTGTGGCTCTTGTTTGTCAACACTTCACTTGTAGTCCTCCTGTCTTTGACTCTTCTTCTCTCACTCGCTTACTCTGCAAGTAGAAACACAGAGATTCCATGTTGTAAGGGTTGCTTGTGCTTTAAGGAACAAGATTCTGTAACAGAGTTGATAAATCTTCTATATATTAATAGAGGATTTGAAAAACTTTTCCTAATAAAAATTATTAATAACAAATATATGGAAATAACGAATATATGATAATTAATATAAAAAATTTTATTTAAAGAATATAGAAAATATTTGAAGATATTTTATTTTATTTTTAATAACTATTAGATTTTTTTATCCGATTCAAACGCGGAATTAGAATATTAAAAACCAAAAATTTATGATTATTTTTAATAGATAACAGAAATTAAAAATATCAAAGGTAGAATATATTTATGTTTGATCAAAATTTTTTTTTTTAAATATTTATGCACAATACATATTATTTTTATACGTGTATAAATATTACAATGAGAAAATTAACAAAAATGCCATGTCTCCAAACAAAATATTTATACACGT